TGAAGCCCGCTAAAAAAACAAAAAAAAAAAAAAAAAAAAGCACATTTTAAGACATTTAACAAGTCAAACAGAGGTGGTAAAATACAAGTATCAACAGAAGCATATCCCTTCCCTTGTCAGTAGACAGTCTGTTTAAAGGGTAAACTACTTTGTACTTAGAGCTTTATTGCAAAGCTTTTGGATGACTTCATCTCGAGGTACAGTGGATAATCATGAATGCTCTATGAAAAACAGAAATTCAGGCCCCAATTATAGATTCTCAGTAAGAAAATCATAGGCCATGAAGATTTGGCAGTCAGTTTCATGGGAAGGACGCCTGGGTGTTCATCACAGGCTAGTGTGAGGCAACAGTAGGACAGGGGCCTCTTCGTAGGAAGGGTGTCTAGAAAAATGCTTGCCTCTGATTTACATAAGACTCACTTTGAAAAATGAAACCAGATTAGAAGAGTTGGCTGGATAATGAAGTCCTGGAAACTATACCAGACGAATGGTAAAATGGCAGCAGAATCTTGTGCCTGTTAGGGCCAGTTGCTCACATAAGTGGATAAATCCCGGCTGGCTGGAGTTAGGAAGGACGTGAGGGGGTGGCAGACTTTAGGGTGCCTGCCCCGCTAGAATGAGCAGTCTCACTCTGCTTCCAAGTGGGAATGTTGGGTTGTGGTGTTTCTATTTTTGTGTTTTTCAAGAAGATCCAGGAATTTAGCCTTTTATCCAATATTTACTAATTAGCTATCAACTAGAACTAATGAACTATCAATTAGAAAGTGAAAGAACTAGACCTCAATTCTGGGTCTGTCTCTTAATGAGTGTTCTTTTCCTTGCTTCTTGACAGTAACTGACCAGATTCCTCAGCTCTGGTGAAGCTGAGATAAGGCTGCTCACTTATCCACAAGGCCACAGATACGAAGACTGAGTATGAAATAAATTGTCTTGGTTGGGCCTATAAAGCGCTCTCTTACTTCTCCAACAGATATTACACTCTTCTGTTGTTGCCTCTGGGGACAGAAGTTGTTACTACGTGAGCCAAACGGAAATACCAAAATTATGGTATTGAAGCCATCGATGGTTGTTGAAAACCTACTTTTATGCCTTTCATTTTGACCATGGTTGGCCTTTGGATTAGGACATAACTTTAAAAAATAATCAAAAAGAGAAGGATACTGTTTTCAGAGAGGAATAAAGGGCAGAGAGAATTTTCCTAATGTCTTTGCCGCATTTGGGGTCTGTGTCTATGCACATGTCTATGAGCACATGTAAAAAAGTGCATGGATTTAACAGTGGGCCCAACTGAAAGACTTGTGATGTGGCAGCTGGAAAATCTATAGAGAAGACCGCAGGACTGTTCTGTCTGGGAGATCTCCGCACTGATGGTCACAAGCCCCAGGCAGATTCTAGGGCCTCAGAAGAGCTGGGCCATGCTGTGTTCCCAGTGGGGCCCTGTGAGATGGGAGGGGCCCTCTATTCTCCCGCCCCCGAGTGCAGCAGACAGGGCATCAGATGTGCCTTCGGATGGTGCAGAAGGAGTCTAAACTTGTCTCTCCCAATTCCAACATCACTGAAGATAATGAAACAGCAGATAAAGGGATCATTGTGTAAGGAGGTTAACAAAACATTGTGCTTTGTGTGGATCATTCCAGGAAAAGACGCCAACAGATTTTGGGTGTGAGTGGGAAAGAGTGTGAGAAAGAGAACCCAGTTCTGAGGTGAGTGTTGTTGCCATGTTTCAAGGGCTTTGAGGGTGGGAGAGAAAAATTCATCCCAGTTCAGGGAAGAGGCACAGCCATGCAGGAGGGATCACTGGAGAGATCATCTGTGTCCTTAAAGATGTGAAATAGAAAATTGTCTCACAGAAATAGAGCTTTTCTTCAGCAGCAATCTCATCTGCCTCTTGGAGCCAAAATGATCTACTCAGTCAAATATTTCCAACTCATCTGGGAGAGCGTAGGATTTGGGGATCCTTGTTTAGACACACATGCTAGCAATCTGGAACATGTTTTACCAAGGGAAAGAGAGGATATCTATGGAGAGAACACTTTCTGATAATCTTACAGTAGCCAAAACTTACTGTTTCAAAAGCTGAGAAATATACCACAGATGCACAGAAGATGTAAGAGTCTGACAAACCAACCAACCAACCCACAAAGACAAGCCACTAATATACAATGTGGTGTCTCTTCGAGGCTGTGCAGGAGGCAGTGGATGGATTACAGAATAAGATAGTAACGGGGTAGTGGAGGAACAACAGCAAAGAGGCCTTCCCGGCTGGAGTCAGGTCTGAGGGCTATCATGATTTCACCATGGTTTGCTGAGCTAGACCCTGTAGTACAGTCACTCGCCTCGTCATCATAGCAACCATGTGAGGACCAGTTTATCACCATCCTCATTCTATAACTCAGGGAGCTGATGCCCAGAGAGGTTAAGTAACCTGTCTGTGCCCACACAACTAAGGACACAGCAGGGATCAGAATCTGTCCATCTTCTGAGCCAGAGTCTTAATCACTTTGCTTTGCTGTCTCCAGCAAGCAGAAAGAAATTGTGGTTGGAAGACCAAAAGACAAAACAAAACAAAACAAAACAAAAACACTAATGAAGCAGAGGGAGATATGTAGATTTAGGGAGGGAGAGAGAAGGGAAGGGAAAGTAGGGCATTCCCACATGGCAGTGGAGGAGAAAGGATCAGTGGAATCAGCGGGTGAGGTGGATCTAAAGGAACAGCCAGGCACAGATAAGTTTTTATTCTTTGTTTGAGATTATGGGATGTGCACAGAGCAGAGAGAGCCAAGAAAAGGAACAAGAACGCGAAGCTTGTGAGAGAAATTCTGTTCCAACCAATCAGTATTCATCAGCTGCTGAAGGAGGAAGGGCATTTTTGGTTGGATGGGCTTTTTTCAGGACTCTAAAGACTGCTGATTCCAGGGTGTGTGGTGTAAGCCTGCTGCTTGGGCACAGGGTGGTATCGACTGGTGGGCACGCAGGTGAGCTGAGGAGTTCACACCTTGTCTAAAGACTGAAAGTTTCAGTTAATGAAATTCTTGCCAGTAATTGCCAGATGTTGTGAACATTTTTTAGAAGCCAGAAATACCGTATATATTTGTTCAAAGTTTCCAAAGTGTTCAATATTGGCCACAAATTGAAAGTATTAAAATCATGAAAAGTGCTCGTGTAGACTGATCAAAATGTCTTTAGGTATAATATGGGCCGTCATGTTGCCAGTTGGCTTCTTGTGTTTTAAAGGATGTTTTTGAACATACCGGTCTGTCCGTCTGGAATCTTTGTCCCCTGTCCCCTAACTTGGTCCACCTGATAAACTTATTCTCATCCTTGATAATACCTGGCTCTGAGGTCAGCTGCCTCAAGAAATATTCTCTGAATCCTCCTGGCCCAAATGTGTCCTCTGCCACTTCCGTGGTACGGCAGGGTCTGGAGTGGATCCAGCAGCTTTGGTGCATCTGTTTGCTTGTCTCCCTCATTCCCTCACCCGGAGGCCTCTGTAACCCACATGTGAGTGTAAGGTGCTGGCCTTCTGCAGCCTGGGAAAGGGGAAATGACCATACAGGCCACATGACAGGAGCCCAGGACTCCGGCTCCTTCGTGCCACAGGAGGGGATTACGGACTCCAGCTGGTTGGCATGAATGGAACACCGGCTCCTGGATTTTGCTGCTTTAAGTCCCACCTGTGTGTGTTAAAAACCCAGCAGGAGAGAGGTGCTAAGATAAAGGGTGTCAGCAGTAAATGCCAACTGGTGAAGATGACAAGAGTGGGCTAAAGATGAAAAGAGGGATAGCGGGAAAGTGTTGTATGTGGAAACACCTTAGGAATCCTGGACTCAGATCACGGTGAGATTGTGTCAGACGGGTTTGAGGAAGAGAATGAACGAAGGGTTATAAACCTAAGAAAGTGTGCCTGGCCCGTGGTAGGTGCTTAATCAATTATCAAATAACTCTAGTACTAGTATGGATGTTTACAGACGTGTGGGCTGGGAACTAAAAACACAGTAACTAAGAGGGATGATCAATCATGTAAGAGAAAACAAAGAATACTTATTATAAATTGATGCAAAGTATTTACATAAATGGGGGTTGCCTTTTGAGTGTAAATAATTATGTAACTCTGTACACCATGAAACCATCCTTTAAAAATAAAATGCCCTGTGAGACCAAAAAGGGATGATAAATGAAAAACACACTGGAGATTGAGAAGCATTCAACAGAGATCAGGTGTGAGAACTCCAAATTTGCAAAGCACTTAAGTTTGGGGGAGAATATGCACAATAAAATGTGACTTTCAGTATATTAAAAGAAAGGCCCCCAAAGCCGAGAGTTTCTTCTCAGATTATGGCTGGGAGGCAGAAGAGCTTGGTGGTTATAACTCCTAGCTCTGCCGCCGTCCAGCTGTGTGACCCTAACCTCTCTGAGCTCCAGTTGCCTCTAGCACGGGGGTGATGACAATATCCACACCTCAGGGGCTAGCGTGAGGATTAATTAAGACAATGCATACGAGCGCTTGGCTTGCAGCCCGGCACACTGTAAACACTCCAGAAATGCCGGCTGTTATCATACACGTCTTACAGAGAAGTCAAAGAGTAGCGCAATTTAAAGCATCTCTATAATTACATGAATTGCGATGAAATAAGTTAAGATCTTGCTTGGCTTTTTTCTCTTAAATTGGATTTTGTAAGCTAAACATGATTCTCCCTGTATCTGAGAGCAGTTGCTAGGAGAAACCGGCAAAAGGCAGTGGCGTGGTGAACTCAGCTATTGTTCCTAAAATAAGTCCGAGATGAGACGGGAGGCTGTGGAGTGACTTCTTCCCTGGGGCGGGGGAGACTTTCCAAAGGAGGAGCGAGCTGAGGAAGCTGACTGGATGAGGTGGGCGACTGGCCCAGAGACCGCAGCCTTGACGGGACCTCCTGCTGGGAAATGAGCAGTTCTATATGGAGCTTTATTTATGGGTATTTATGTTTGCTAAGGAGAGCTTTCCAGGATGAATGTTTGAGAAGGTAGAAAAACCTCTAGATACATACTCATTCTCCTGGAAGAAAGAAATACAGTTGGAAAAGAGACCATTTACAGAATGATGAAAAAGTCCACAGAGCTGGGTTAGAAACAATTCCCTGCCCTTCCCGCCCTCCCTTCCTTCCTCCCCGGTCTTCCCTGCTTCCCCCTTCCCTCCCTATGTACTGCAAATGGTACCCAGAGAATGCTGAGCTACATCTCTAGCCCTTTTAATTTTATTTTGAGACAGGGACTCACCAATTTGCCCAGGCTGGGCTTGAATTTGTAATCTTCCTGCCTGAGCATGCAACCCCTGCCCAACCTGGTACTTCCTTTCTGGCTAGGGCATCATACTTATTTTCGTGCCTATAATCAGGTTTTTATAAGAGAAATGCGTGCATCTTTGTTAATGAAGACTTTGTTCTTATTCTTGACTGGTGTAGAGAGGGTGACTCTGACCTCCTGGGACTTGCATTTTGCAGGCCTAGTTACTTAGATGGTCAGACAAGGATTTTAAAGCCTCTTATTTGGTTGATGGACTTGTGACTAAATCAGTGGGGATATAGATTGAAATTATGGAAATGTGGTTTATAAGCCTTCTCTCGGGTGAAACACTTTCATCATTTCTGTCCATTTTAGTGGCTGTTGTGCTCACATCTCGGTGACAACGGGAAAACAAAGATTTGGTGTCTGGCAAATGCTTTTCTGAAATGTGTCCTCATCCAAGTCCTAGTCATGCAGATTCTGAAGAGGAAGAGAGGTCTATGAAAACAGTTCCAGCTCTGAGGAAGTTGCCTTTATCTGTCAAACATCTCTTAGATTTCCCACCTAGTTACTCCTTGGTGTGTATTGTGTTTCCTGCCTCGTGAGTGACTGCTGGTTCTGTACTAAGCAAACAGAACCAGATGCCAGATGTTAATCTAAGTCTCTCTCAAGAAAACCACAAAATGCCACACATGGGGTCATTTAAATGAGTTACTATGATCATAGCGATGAGATTTACAAATACACGTGCAAGCCTTCCTCTAATTCATAGTATATTTGGCAAAGAGGTATTGTAGGGGTTGCTAAACCAAATGCTAAGTGCTCCAGCTGTTTAAATTCACCAAGTTTCTTTCATAATGAGAAACAGACACTACTGGCTGACAGCGCTAACCAAATGGCCCCTTCCACTGTTTTTTGAACAGAGGGGAGATAGAAAGCAACAGATTCTGAACACACAGCCCCTCAAAGCAAACTTTAGGAGCTCGTTCATTCCAAATCACACCCCGAACTCTTCTCTCAGCCTACATTTAAAATGAAGTTCAAATCTCACTGTACCGCTTTTGCAAGTTTCACGCCATGCTCGTACGTGAGAGGTTTCTCTTTCATATACAGCAGACGGGCCAATGTTTTTGGGTCATCTCGGAGATCAATCTAGCAAAAAACACACATGTGATCAACTTATTTGTTTTTTCAAGCCTTCTCAGTTATTTTAAACTGCGGTATAGAAGGGTTTCTTTTCTCTTGGACGTCTTTGAAGTGGATGAGTCTGCTTTAAGAAAGCACACACGTGTTGATGTTATGTCTAAGAGAGTCAAGTGACTTCTTTGTACATGGACACACCAGGATGTTCTTGTATTTTCTCCTTTGAAACAGCACCCTCCCCACCCCTGGTGTGCTGAAGACTGCCTTTCATGGTTCTGGTGCTGTTTTGGAATTTTTTGTTTATTTCTAGATTTCACTGATAGGGCATACAAGAGGACCAGACACTCTGGTTACCTTCTCCCGATGACATATTTGATCCCAAATTATACTACTCATTATTTAATGCTTATTTCCTGTATCTCGATACATCTTTTTGGTTTGTTTGTTTTGTTCTGTTTTGCTTTCCCAAATTACAACTTCTCCCTGCCTGTGAGACTATTCTAACAAATGTATTGCAGGCTTGGGAAGGCAAATCCCAAAGAGGGGTTTCCAAAGTGTATGCTTAATGAATAAACATTATTTTTTTCAAAGGTAGAGCTGCTATGAAAGTAGGATGCATTAGGTTTGAGAATTTCATTTTTTTTTTTTTTTTTGGTGGTACTGGGGATTGAACTCAGGTCCTTGCGCTTGCGAGGCAGGCCACTGAACCACTGAGCTAAATCCCCGGCCCAGAGAATTTAATATTTGGTTGTGTAAAACTTTCACTGTATATTGGAAATAAGTAGGACGGACATGTGTAAATATCTAATAGTTTCTCTGAGAAAATGAAAGTGTAAATTAAAATTAAAATGCATAACTGATAATGTGAAACAGGAAGAAAAGGTCTAAAGGGGAGGAGGAAGGGGGAGGAGTAGGGGAAAGGAAAGAAAGGAAAGGAAAAATATAAGAAAAGGAAAAAATGGAAACAAAGTCTTTGTAAATAGGGTGGGGTGCAAGGGTTGAAGGGAGGGCAGGGGTATGGGGAAAAAATAAGAACCAAGCTACATCATGTAAAGGTACAAATTCCCAGTGATGACTGTCATCATATCGTACACCTAAAATGTACCAATAAACATAATGAAAAAAAAATTTCATTGTGTATTTGACCCTGAATGTGAACACACAGGACTTGTGTCTTTAAAAATAGCCAATATATTCATATGTTAGGGTCCCATTGATAAGCATAATACTCAGGTCTACTAAGCTATGGGATTTTTTTAGCCTTAATTGTTTGACTTAATGCCAATTGATTGTAACATAATGTGTTTGAGTGTCCCAGTACATATTTTGACAGCAGGGATCCAGCTGCATCAGTATGGATAAATATTGTCATCTGGAATTCAGGTGATATACTTCATTAAACAAACAAGTGATTACCTTTTGGAGCAGAAGTATCAATCATTCTCTGATTTGTGGCTCTATGAATTCTATTTTGTCTCTCTCTGAATGAACACATATACCCTGAATCTATCCATATCTTCTTTAGAAAATATTTTTTCCTTTATTATTAAAAAGGAATTCTTTTGTCAAGCAGAATATAAAACAAGAAATGTAAAGAAACAGCATATGAAACAGATCAGTATAAATCCCTTTGTGGCTACTGCAATAGTAATTTGGATTTTTAAAAAGCAAAGAACAAAGCCTATTTAAAACCACAAAGCTGGGATGATCTTTAATTTATTTGTGCAACTGGCCTACTGCTGGAAATTCCAACTATGAAATTTTCTGCACTTTTGAAACACTTAAAAGGCCTTTACAATCCAGATTTATTTATCTTGTATATGTGTTTTAACTTCTTTTATAAACTCTGAAAGATCAAGGGGTTTAAGAAGAACAGAGCGGTGCATTTCTGTCTTCCTTCTCCAGGACGACCTTGTCTTAAGGAGTCCTGCCCTAATACGCCCGTTCTGGTTGCTGGGGTCATTTCGACACTCCATTACTCTGTGGTTTTTAAAATAACTGTGGATTTTAAGCTACAGAATATTAGGTAACGTGTGCAACAGACACCATCCCTTCTTTGCTCTGATTCAGTGCTGGAGAAGACTCAATCTGAAGAAGTTACTGTGAGAGATTAAAATATAAAAACTCCCTGATCCACACTAAACAGTTCTGTTAACTTTTTAACTATGGGCAAAATAATCACGAACGTCTTAAGGGCTTCCGCCCATAGGAGGGCTGTGTCCGAGTCTCTTTCATCGTGCTGGGCAGCGTGTGCCACTCGTGATATGCCTGCTTCTTGGCAGCCCCGCCCCCAATCACCCATACTTTAACCTGGGTCCCTATAAGGACGTAAGGTACGTGAGGCATGCAGTCCTTCAGCTCCGGGACCCATTCCTCCTGGACGTTGTGGTAAGAGGCGGGGTTGACGACAGAGAAGCAGATCAAGAACACATCGGTGTTGGGGTAGGACAGCGGCCTCAACTGGTTGTAATCCTCCTGCGGGAAGAGCAGACGAGAGGTTGTTGGGCCTGAGTCGGAGGGATCAGAGGTCGAGGGAGCCCTGGAGGTAAGATCCATCCACTCCAGCGCAATGGGCTCGGGTTCCTTCCCCACCTTGGGGTCTGGTGGTCTATATATTAGTAGAAGTAAAGGAGCCCCCAGGCAGGAAACCTTTCTGTCGTGTTTAGCGAGTATGGATTGCACCCGTTCAAGATCAGTTTAGAAAGGACTGAATTATTGAGCTGTACTTTACATACTATAAACTTCACTGCCTATTCTTAATTTTTAAGATGGCATATACTTGGGGTATAATATATAAACAGAACATGATGCTTTGTTATACACACGACCCACTACAACCAAGCAAACCATCCATCTCCTCACACGGTTATTTTATTTTTTTAAAATGGTGACAGAACTCGGAATCTACTCTCAGCGAGTTTCCAGTATGCAATATGGATATCGAAGGTGGTCCTCATGCCAAATTCATCCTATGTCACTGCAGCCGTGTACCCCGAGCCAGATCTCCGCACTTCCTGCCCCTCTGTGTCCCTAATAACACGCTCCAGTATGTATTCTACCGTTCACTCATCGGAAGGGCATAATCCAATAAGCGTGCCTGCTGTGTTGAAATTGTAATATGTAGGACAACGATTTAAATTGTAGGCCACTGACCGAGGAAAGAAACCCTCTCTATATAATTAAAAAATTGTTTCCTAATTTAATTTGGATTAAGTTAACTAAAATATAAAGCAAAGATCTTTTGCCAATTTAGACAGCACAGTTCTTGATGCATCCTTAATGTATTCCTATATCCCACCTTCTTCCTTCTTAGTCCCTTCCCTCTAGTCTTCCTTCTACTCGCATGCCATCTTTTTTTAGAGCCCACATTCTAGGGAAAACATTACATGTTTTCTGAACCCGGTGTATCTCACTTAATACAGTGACCTCCAGTTCTGTCCATTTTCCCACCGATGACATAATTTTGTATTTCTTTATGGCTAAATACCACTGCAAATTGTGTTTACAGTATATTCCATACTTCCTTTACCCCTTCATCCACTGGTGGGCACCTAGGCAGGTTCCACGCCTTGGCTATTGTGAATTGTTCTGTAGTAAAAGACAACAGAGTCTTTGAAGAAACAGTTGGGTGAGGGTTTAGAGATAAGAATTTGGGACTTGTATATAAGTTTATCTAAAAGTCACAGTGCTGCCAAATAAATAAAGTGCTCAACTATATTGTTCCAGGGGTTTTTCTGGTCAGACTACTCACGGTTGAAAAGTTTCTGGTTCTGTTATTGGTTGTTTCAGTGGGAAATAATAAATACAAAATAAAACACTGCATTATTTCAGCCGTGGAAAAATGTCAGGTATCTTTTATTATAGACAAATTGCTTTAGGAGGCTCCAAGAGAAAAATCTACTATTTCAATAAAGTTCTATATATTTTCATAGAAATTATTATTATTATTATTTTATTATTGTTTGGTACTAGGGTTCGAACTCAGGACCTTGCACTCGTGAAGCAGGCGGTGGAACCACTGAGCTAAATCCCTGGCCCTTATTTTCATAGAATTCAGTGACACATAAACCAAAAGTAACTTTGTGTATGTACACATGTGTCCTGTTACTGTATACATCACATACCACAGCGTGACCTATGAGCAGTACCTATGGGTACCATTCATATTCATGGCTGCCGTACAGTACACACACGCACACACTCTTGTGAATATGCGTCACCACACCTATCAGGTTCACAGAGCTTTGCTGGAGCCCGGACTTCTCTTCCTAGCATTGAAAAAAATTATAAAACAATATGCTTACTGCAGAAATGCAAGCATTTTGGAAACAGAAGCAAAAATTTGTTTCACCTTAATGTGATCTCTCAATACTTTTCCTCTCTCCCAGAGAGAGCCATCACCTAACATACTTCCAAACATTTATATGCATATTATATACATGTTTAGTTTAAAAACATAGATTAATCATACAGTTCATATCATTGCACTACTTATTTTTAAAAATATGTCATAGATGCATTTTTAGCATCAGCCCTATCTTTCTACTGCCTCTCCTGATGTCTTCATAAAAAGGAGTACGCATGTGAGCACGTACAGCCGCACGTGAGCACATACAGCCGCACGTGACCCGAAGGAAGTGCCTTAGGGCTGGAATGTGGTCATTTCCGGCTGGAGAGCAAATGCTGATCTACTCAAAGTGCCCAGAGCAGAAGGCTCAGTAGGCTTGGCAGCTACTGCTACTACTGTTAAAATTTAAACGAAGGTTTTAGGTACCCAAGAAAAGTTCCATGCAAAATGAGCAGGATGCAGAAAAATAGAATCCTAAAAAATAAACAACAACAACAACAACAACAAAAACCCCTAAAAACCCCACACCTGTTATTGCAGCTGCTTTACCACATTTCCATTAAAGCAAATAACTGGGAGCTGAGTGCACTACCGAGTAGGTGTTGGTCAAATGGAAATCATTTATCGCATTTCAGCTGGGCTGTGTCTCATCTGCATGTGTGTGCAGGGGAGGGAACAGCTTGTCTGTGGTACTGTCCTCTCCTCTGTACAAGTGGCTCAGAACGAATGACCTTTTTCTCCTAAGGTCTCTCTGGACTAAGCCCTCAGAGAGCGGCAAGGTGAGACTTAACAAGCCCAGAAATCGTCTCATGCTGTCGTCTACAACCATTCATGAAGCTGGGCATGGTAGCGCAACCTGTAATCCCAGCACTCTGGGAGGCTGAGGCAGGAGGATTGCTGCGAGTTAGAGACCAGCCTGGGCTACATAGTGAGTTCCAGGGCAGCCTCAACTAACTACATAGTGAGACCCTGTCTCAAAAAAACAAAACAAAAAAAAATGAAAAATAAAAAAACCCCAAACAATACAACCATTCATGGTACTCCCTTCTCTCTGCCTCTTGATCCTCCCATCCAGATTGTCACAAGAGGATCAGATATCAGCTTATTTTGTCCTCTTTCCCCACCTGTACTCTCTTCACAGAAAATATTCTGTAAATGTGGTTGACTTACTAGAAGACAAAGTGTACAGTGATCTCCAAATGAAGACACAGCTCTTCTGGAGCCAATTACTACAGTGCCTTCTATCAGAATTACCGAGAAGCTAGAAATAACTCGATGCCCAGCTTATCAGCGACCTGTCGCAACCTGCTCCCTACCCTGAGATCACTAAAATCAGAGTCTCTGGAGAGTGGGCCTGGCCATCTGGGAATCCCGTGGGCCCAGAGTTGAGAACAGCTGGTTTGTATCACCTCACTATCAAATGAGGACATGTCTAGGGCTTATTACCCAGAACCAGGTGCTGGGTCAAAGGCCGCATGAAGCCCTACACAGCTAGTAGCATGGCTCCAGCAAGAACACAAGCTTTTAACATTATTATGTGATTCTTTTTTGTGCTCGGGGTTGAGCCTCTCTGCACCTGTGTGTGCCTGGGAAGATGGACATTTTTGTTACGAAGCAGACACATGAATTTTCTTCTTTGATTATCTAACTTGGGTTTGTGTTGTTTTGTAAAATAATTTGACAGGTTAAGATATTAAAAAAAGGAAAGGAAGTTTTGTTACTTATACAGATGAACAATATTACGTATTTTATATGGAGCCCATGACTAATCCTCTTTACTCAGGGTGGCAAACCAACACCTGGGCACCTTAATCTGTGTGCTTTACCTCGATGGATTTGCAAAATGGCTCTGGAAAGATGGCACCATCACCACCCAAATTTCATGAAGAGAAAGCTGAGAGACATTTCCTAATGGGCCAAGGCTACAGAGTTATTAGAAACCAGATACCAAATGCTTGCATCCAGATCTATCTCTGAACTCTGACTACACTACAGTGGTTGCCCAGAATTTTAAGGGACAGATCCAGTATTTTCTTGAACTCGGATATCCAGGAGTTACTGCGGTCAGGCATTACCCAGGGGTCTGAGAAGCTGAGATCACTGGCGCATTCGAAGCCGGCATCTGCTTGGAATCACCACAGGATGGCAGCAAACACTGTCTATTTAAAAACCCCAGAGTCCGAAACAAAAAAATGCAATTAGAAGTGGCCACGCTGGAAAAGACAGGTGCAAATAACAAGTCTGCAAGGGTCGTGTTTATTTGATTCTCTATCCAGCAATAGTCAAGTAAATTCTGCTTACATTATGGAGAAGTTAGGCAGGCCATAGTTTGCTGATACGAAGTATCCAAGGTGAATAAGAACTGGCAATCGAATAGCATGAAAACGCATGAAATAATTCCATTTATGCAAAGTGAGACAGGTGACATTTCCCTTGCGTGCTGTGAGGTAATTTGGTAATGTAGAATATTTATCTGATTGAATTGGAAAAATGCAATGTCAAGGATTGAAGAGGGTTTAAAGATGTGCTGTGGTTTAAAGTGTTGTGGTTTCCAAAGCACACCTGGAGCTTGTTAGGACCTGAGCCACCCAGTCCTGGTGAAGATGAGGCCAGGACATCGCCAGACGCTTGGGCCGGAACACTCTCCAGGTGATTGGAAGCTACTCAAACTCCACAACTGGCTCTCCCCAGCCAATGCTACAGCACCAGAAACCCAAGGTCTGGCAGATGGATGGAAACAGAGCCAAAATGCTTCAGAGAAGGCTTTTATCTGGGTAGCAGGGCTCAGTATCGGCTGTGTCCACGAACAAGGTAGGGGTTCAGGAATGATGAAACTTGGGACCTGGAGCCGTGGGGTTGGGAGGTCGGGGATTTGAATTCACATCAGCTATAGACTGAGTGGGTTTTGATGGAGCATGCTGCCACCCTGGACTGGGTGATCGCATATTCAGGTCATGGCAGGGGCTGTGAGGAGAGTTTAAAGGGCTCAGCTGTCAGCTGGTGTGGAGCTCCTTCTAATGTTGCAAAGGAGACGGAAAGGTGCTCGCGTGCTTCACGAAGAGACTTTTTTTGGTACGGGGGATCGAACTCAGGACCTTGTGCTTGAGAGGTAGGCGGCTGCACCACT